ATCCGCGCGATCAAGCAGAATCGTATCATTTTCGAGGAAGGAGAAAGCGAACGCCGCAAACGCTTCGCATTCAATGACCTCGGACCACGGCTCGATGCCAGCGCAGCGAATGACCTCCGACTGGCAAATAGTAAACAGATGTCAACTAAATTCATTCCAGAGACCAGATACTCGCTGGCGCCACCGTAAATTCACAGATAAATTCGACACTGATCTTCGAGCCCAACAAACCCAATCAATCCACTGAGGATTTCCATACGTTTACAAGAAATTTCAACGTGAGTTACATACGTGTGCATAGGGAAAATGGTGTGTCAAATATCCAAAGTAGGAAACGCGCTACTATCGTTTGGAAGATGAAACAGATTTTTATTTGGAACCTATGTAAAAAAACTTAAGCTGTATCTACTGTACTTGAAAGAATAAGATCCACCTAGGCCATAGTCAATCAGGTTGCATTCATAAAAATATGCATTTGCACATGAATATACTGCAGTCTACCAATTACGTAAAACGTCTCGCGAACACTTGTGTGTCAGTACTTGCAGAAACATTTATGCAAAAGATTTTCAAACTTTATTAGCACTGTTGACGACTGACACGACTTCATCGAAATTCATTTGGTTTTGAAACGAGTCTGAGTTTGGTTATATATTTCGCAGGAATTATGAAACTGTTTTTATATAGTCGGTTATCTAGTATAGTAATGCACGATAATTTTATACGAAAGTGATACTGGATCAGATTTAATTCGATGTTATATTTCTTTTTCCATCTATTTATTTCTTTCACTGGACACCACTATGTATGATAATTAAAGAGAAACGTAGTTATAAATATTGTATTATTGTATTATTCTTTACCGTTTGCACTATCGTGTATTTATTTCACAATTTCAAATAATAACGAGCAAATTTTTATATTATTAAATAGCTGTTCCAGCGTGTACAATTAGTACTACTAACGCACGTTTATCGCAATCTTCGATATTTAGAGAGCAACTTTAACATTTTCTTTATTAATTTACTTGCGGTAAATATGTGACTTCTATACACGTTTCAAAATGTTCTACGATATAATCTATGTCATAAAATTCTATGTACATTATTATGACAAAATTCTCCGTACATTTCCAAATTTTCCGAAACGTAACAAGTCGTTTCAGTTTAACGAAATTTCGAATTGACAAAAAATGTTTCCAGCCACGTGCGAACGCCTTCGTGAACGACTGTTATCCGCAAAATAATACTAACTTGTAGAGCCGTAGTAATCGACAATGCGAAATTCCTCATAACGCCTGAATATTCAAGTTCTAATAAGCATAACGCGTAGAACTTCTAGAGCATCTTGTCAATCTGGAGTAGTACGCAGTATGAATAGTAGAACACTTATAGTAGTTAGAATATCTGGAATAGCCTGCAATTGGCTCGATGCTTAAAACATTTAGAATATCTAGAGTAGCCGGGGCTGAGTTCTTGAAATGCTAATCGAAAGCTCATGCTGGTCGATTTAAAATAAATATTAGGTACATACACACGCCGCGGCGCGTACAATAGAATAACTAGAATAATTCAGCAGAATTGATACATACACCACCGTCGACTTTCAATAAAACATGCCTCTCAATTACAAAATGTTACGAATAAAATCCAACCGCGATAATTTCACTCTTACGCCATAATAAAATATTCACTGTAATAAAATATGTCTCAATTTGCAAAATTACGAATATATAAAATGCAGCCCGCGATAATTTCATTCTTCGCTATGATAAAATTCACGAAAGCTATTGAACTGATTTTTAAAATTGAACGATTTTAAAATTTGTCATATTTAAACAGTACCACCGCTACGATTTTTAATATATAGCTTAAATCAATAATTCTAATCAGCGATTCGTCGTTGAACTGTAAACTTTCAAACTAATTTCGGATTAATTTACCATTTTGAAGTTTAAGATGATAGTTAAATACATTGCTACTGTAACATTGTCCCTCGATAAACAATCTCAAACAATAATCTGCCGATTGAACGAAGAAATTGTAATTACCCCTTTCAATTATCGGTTGTTTTGCAAAACCTTGATCGAATAAAATATTCGAACGTAAAGAGATATTTGAAATATTTTCCTTGGAACGAAACTACGTGCTCAGAACGAATTGAAAATTATATTTAAATAATTCGTACTGAATGGCGAAGAGAATTAATGTCGCTTTCCCGCAAACAAAACAATTTCATCTGTCGTATATAATATCCAACGTTAGGTATACGATCGGTTTTCCGGTCAAAAGGGAATATTAATGTTCCCGTTATAATACCATAAATATTTAATATTAATATTAAAATTTCATTTCGAATGTAGCGGACATTCGTTCGGTTGAGAGGCCGGGCCGCGAGGAACTTTATCCCCTTTGAAAAATACTCATTTTGAACAAGCCTAACGTTCGCGTTTTATTAAACAGTCGCTGTTAAACTTCGTTGGTTTCGCTCGCTCGATTTCGGAAAAGCTCGTCGCAGGAAAAAAAGAAAAGATATAATAAAACGAAATGCTGGCGCGTTAAAAATTGTGCCGAACAACGTGACCGTCTCGAATCGAGGACTTTACACTTGTAAATATCATCGAATGAATTATTCATAAATATTAAATTCCACCCAAACAAAGAAGAAAGAAAGAAAAAAAGGAAAATCATTCTACGTGACGAAGCTGGATTTTTCAAATTGTCATTGAATTTCGTGCAGGTCCGCGATATAATTTTGTTATGAAGGATTCCCTTATTAAACCGGCAAACGCGCGATCGTGCGATAATTTCAGTTATCTCGGTTGCATAACTGAAAATTATTATTAGTGAAGACCTCAGATCTCTGTTTTCAATGTGGACGCTACGTAGAAATCTAGGATGCAGCGGCTTGACGTTGAGAACAAATGACTCTTCGACAAATTCTTTGAACGACGGTGACGAAAAATTAAAAAAGAAAAAAAACGAAAAATTGACGAATAGAAACTGTTCGAGGAAAATTGGAGGATCTTGTTGGCGTGACAAGATCGCGCAGCCTTTTGCCGGTATAATTGACAAAACCTGATCGCGAGGTTGGTTACGTTTCGTATGTACCTAACGTGTGCGGTACATGTCATCGACGACGTCCTCGAAAACTGAAATAGTTATGACTTGACATCGCGATAACGAAAAAAGGAAGCTCCCAGGTAAGCGAATCGCACGAAAGCGTGGCTTATGTAATCTGACAGAAGCAACGCGCCTCTCGCTTTTCTGTTTTACCACGGCTCGCGTTTTGGCGATCGTTCAAACTTGTTTATCGCCGATCGAGCTTCTTAATGGATCGCGAACGCGTGATAACATCGATCGATTTATATGTAGTTGCCCCGCGAGATACACATGACGTAAGAATTCCCCAGTTCTGGTAACTATCGCCTTTGGCTTCGATTATTTCTATTTTTTTTTTCTTTCTTTCTTTTTGTGCTGTAACGAACGAGACTCGGCCAATGAAATTTGAAAAGTTGCAAACGGAGTAATTGTCAATTTAAAGACGATTTACCGAAAGAGTACATAATCTTGAGGATGGTTAGACCACCGTGAGAATCAACAAGTACTGATAAACGAATGTTATATGTTTTCGACTGGGCGTTAGGATATTTAAAAAACACAGTGTCACGTAGATGTAACAAGTTCAATATTATTAGTACGATATTAATTAAACAAAATAAATGATATTCGTTTTAATTTTGAACGAGAGTAAATTGATGTGTTCCAAAATGAAATATGAAAGATACTCCGTAATAAAATGCTGAAATTAACTTATAAATAGATTACGAATATTTATACATTTATATAAATAAAAGTAAATTTTATTTGAATTGGAATGAATTTAAAAATATTCGAAATACACGTAATAATGGCAAAATATGCAAAATGTTCAATGCGAAAATATACAAAAATAATCGTACATTGTTGCAGTTGTTATTTAATTGTGCTGATACAAATATGAATTTACGTGAATATTCGTAGTCTATTGGATAGTCCAATTGAATATTGTGTTTAATCAGGATTCACTATTTTAGCTATGAATATCTGTGTTATAATTAGTATCTTATTATTAGAAATGGAATTACTGTTCATTAACTGTTTCTTGAATCTCATAGATATATTATCCAAACATGTGTAAGAGATTTATTGAGATTTAATAACAGTTATCCAAGAATTTAAAAAATTTTTTTAATCATCAAAGTCAGAATGAAAGAGATATATTTGTAAATAAATCATTTCTGCTTTTCGACCACCGCGTCACATGACTTTTTTTTTTTTTGACTGACTAATTATATTGTTTCTATTAATTTCATTTCCAACTTTCGACGCGCAAATGTTAAAAAGCGTCATTGAAAGCGACGAGCTCTGAAATATTTCCTAAATTTGACTAGCAAATGATATATCAGAGTGTGAGCAGACATTAATATTAACGTCTCTGCTATTTGCATATTCGGACTTAGAATTCACGAAAATATGAAAAAGCACGTGTTTACGTAATCGTGCTGCCCGTTTTCGGAGTTTCTTCGAATACCGTCGAACGAAAATTTTTATAGGTTAGGCTCTTCGCTATTGTTGTAGGAATCTTTTGTCAGATGTCGTGAGGAATCAATGAAAGGAGAAAACCATTGGAGGGAAAAAAAACCTATGCAATATTCAGAAAGTTTTCTGATCGGAATGTAGTATCGACCGCGAAAAAAACTCGCCATCGCACAAGGTTCTTTCGATGTTAAAGAAAACGCGGGCTTGCCAAATCGAGGTGAAGTAGATGGTAGAACGCAAAGTTCGAATGTTCGAAAGGTCGGCCGCTAATGTAAACAGAAGCAGCGTGTCACGCGCACGACGCCGCAGATAGGCCGCATGCATCGAACCAAAGTCATTTTACGTAAACTCAAGTTGCCGTGTCTCGACGATGACGAATTGAACAATCGAGAAATGTTTATTAACGAACGACGGACTCACCTGAAGATCATGACAGCCGTTATCCCTGTGACTGGCAGCACGAATCACCCCTGCACGCCACCCCCACTCACTAATCTTATTCACCTTTAGCTTGGTGAAACCACTCACCGAGAGAAACCTCTTTCCCACGATCTCTTCGCGAAACTTGTACGCCATATTATGGATCGGCAACCGCGGCGTGTCGAATCCGCGAATTCGGATCGCCAGCCGGGTCTTCGAATCACCCTTTCTCCTTCTCTACACTTTTCTATATGTCTACCTCTCCTTTTCACTTCTCTGGCTATCTCTTCTTCTTCTTCTATCACTATCTCTATCCCTGTGTCTAGCGATCCTTTTCCCTCGCTGTCTTACTCTCTCGCTCTTTCTCTCTTTCTCTCTCCCCCACGAACTGTGCCGTTCTCTTTTCCTCTATTCCGATCCTCCAGCGAGCGTGCCTCTCCCCCAAAAAAGAAAACCCCACGTAGCACTGAACCGTAGAGAAGAACAACCGAGCACCGATCACCACTTCGTTATTTTTCACCAAAACACCAAGAGCACAGTCACTCGGATCCGCTTTTCTCCTCGTGATCACGACGGGCCAGCAAACAACAGGGCCATGAGGCGCGCACGATCCTCTTCTCCTTTCTCCTCTTTTCTTCTCTCTTCCTTGGACGATCGGCCACCACCAGCAGCAGCCACTCCTTGCTCCTACATACGTGTGTCTGGACACTGGACACCGTACCACCGAAAACGTCTCGGCGACCGCTCCGATATATCACTTTGCTCTTCTCGACACCTTGTCGTCGTCGTTGTCCTCGTCGTCCACGTCCACGTTCTCGTCCTTGTCGTAATCGTCGTGGTCGTTGTCGTTGTCGTCGTCGTCGTCGTCGTCGTCGTGATCGTCGTCGTGGTTGTTGTTGTCGTTGTCGTCGTCGTCGTCGCCGTCGTCGTTCTCCTCTCCTTCTTTTTTCCTTTTTCTCCGTTGCGCACCACGCAGCCGATCTTTCCCTTTTACAGTCCGCTCCACCTGCGCGCCCGTAATCCTCGTTGTCGTCGTCTCCCCGATGATGTTCCCCGCGTCGACAGGATTTCGCCTGCTCTCGCCACGTCTAGGACACGGAACGAGAGGCACTTTAAACTTCCGGCCGCACACCGTGTATACTGGACACACACTGCTCGGTTGACGGTAACGGCGGCAGCGCGGTAACCAAGCACTCCGAACGGTACCAGTGTGAACGTGAGAGTGACACACACATGACCGACCAGTGATATCGCGTAGCGCGCACTGCGGGCGGACGGCAGGGAGGCACGACTCCTTCCCGCGGCTCCTACCCCCTTCCCCACTTCATGGCTCGACCTCCCGCCATCGTTCTCTACCCTCGAACACCCCCAGGCCCCCGCCAGCTCCGACGTTCGCGCCGACGCCTCCTCCTCCACCTCACCACCCCTCTCGCGAACAAGCAGCCGTGCCGCGCGCTACGCCGCACCGCGCCGCGTCGCCACTGATACTCTCTCCCCACCACCGACTATTCTTCCCCTTTTAGCCACACGTCTCACCCTTCCCTCCCTCACCAACCCCTTCCTCTCATCTCTTCTGCTTTCTTCTCTTCTCTTCTCTTCTCTTCTCTTCTCTTCTCTTTTCCCTTTTTCTCTCTTCTTCATCCATCTTTTTGTTCTACCTTCTCTCCTTTCCTTCTCTTGTCTCATCTCTTCTTTTCTCTTCTCTTCTCTTCGCTTCTCTTCTCACCTCTTTTCTTTTCGCTTCGGAGACGTCTCCGCAACCGTTCTCTTGCATTGCTGCAACTCATGGCAGTAGCGTGGGGTGAGAAACTCTAGGGCCGTAACACCGATCGCGAGCGAAACACACGGGGCCACAATTCTTGACAGAGTAGAGTAAAGTGTTAACTCGGCATATTTCCCTGTTGCTTCCTAAATATAATTTCAGGACAAGTTTCAGGATATTTTCAAGCAAAGATCCGTCGAATCTCTCTTGTTGCTTTCGTGAAATTCGTCTCCCAAAATGAAAAAAAAATGAAAAACGGACGGAAACATGTGCAGTGTGTTATAAATCACGACACGCGTCGCTATCCTTGACGCGAACAAATTGCTATCTCGTCGATCTTTTGCCGCTCGATTTATACGTTTGTGCGGGATTGGTGGTCTGGAAAACGTTCCTCTGTACTAGAGCTCTGTATGTTTACAAACACGGTATTTTTCTGTTTTCTGACGATGATTAATCGCAAGCGTGTCGCGTCATACACCTTGTTTTCTCTTTGTTACGTTCTAAGATGCTTTGGTCGATCATAATCTAGTGTTCGTTTATTAAATTAAACAAGCCTTGCCAGGCGATAGAACCTGACTTTTGTACCGAAGATATGTTTCATTGCAATTTTGTGCGAGACAAATGAAAATCCTCTCAACGTCGTTTGGCTCCGGTGTGAAAATAAATACCGGAGCAAGGTGTTTAAGAACACCAGCTGTTCGTACAGCCCTGCGGTCACGTGACGAAAACACGACGTGACGACACGCGCAGCAGCAGCCAGCTGCCAGTCCAACATGGTTGACCTGTGAGCAGTGGTGCTACAAACGGCCGTCCGCATTAATTGCTCGTTTCTTCCGATCTCGCGTGCATCGTATATCGCTCGAAACCGTTAATATGATATCTTCGATCATCTCGCGACTCATCATGTGAGTATCCAAGCCCGAGTAATTGGCCCAGACACGGGGCAAATAGTGCGAAACAAAATGTCAGCTGCGCCTGGATTCTCGCCATCGTTCGACTCAGAGTTGCCCCGATTACTATTCGTCACTGCACACTGGTTTCAGTTTTTTTCTGCTTCCCCTTTCTCCAAACGTACCGTCTATCAATTTACCCTACTCACACGGCGCTCCGAAACGAAGCAGTCCAACAAGCCGGAACATCCAACAGTCGCTACCCTTCTTTTCTCTTTTTTCAACCCCTTCCTCGCGAAGAACTCGCAAAGGGTGTCTCGTTGGTGTTGGTCATGTAACGGTAGGCCAGATCGAAGGTGCAGTGTTCCCAGTGAAAAGTTACACGACCCATTCACGAATCCGTTTCCCGACGTGGAGAAATTACGTCATCGCGTCGTCGCAGCGCACAGAGCTCGAAGAAAGATTTCCATGTTTGGTTACAAGTTCCACGACACACAACATCGAAACGATCGTATTTGAAATTCGTCCTAGTTGTACCGAGGTATCGATTTATCGAAGGGAATTAATTCACGGCGGTGACCGAGTCCTCTGGCGTCGAGGCGTTTCGAAAGCTTGGCTCGAGAAAAAGGTAAGAGGACATTTTCTTCCATATTAGGGGAACGAACGATAAACAAAGAATTTCGACGCACAACAATGTCGAGCCACCGATTTACGCGTAGGTATTCTAGGAAACGCGAAATTCTAAGAAATCATTATAGTCGACGACGTATTGCGTAGAGCGAGATTTATACAATAGAAAAGTTCACGCAGCTAACAAACGCGAACGTAATCTTATCGTACCTATATATACACGGCTATATACATACGTAATGGAAACCTAACCTAACCATTGGTTTTTGAATCCAAACGGCAGGCGCTTGCCCACCATTACGGACGTACATTCGTGTTACGATACCTTGCGCATAAAATTTTATTCGTAATTTTTCAGATTTGTAAAATCCGATCCAAACATCGAGAATTTTCGGCAGAAAATTTATAAAAATACACGCTCTGTAATTGAGGATTGTTCGAGTTGGCGGAGATTTTTTTTTTTTAATTTTCACGGAGAATTAAAACGATCACGGTCGTTTCGATTCGCGTGCTGGTCTATAATCACGATAGAATCCGTTTAAAGAACGCGTTTGGACATGTTCCACGGTCCAAATCGATGCTCTTACATCGTCTCAGTCTTTATTGTCCGTACCCATTTCTGCGTGCCGAATTTAAAAATAGCCGGACGCGTTTGAAGAAGGACAAAAGTCCCTTATCGTTGGTCGATTGAGAAAGAATCGCAGCGCGAAACCTTTTATGGTGCACCGTCATTGTTTCCATCAGCTGATCATATACGTACTACGTATTCAGTTTCACAATGATGTAAAAATATTGACACATTTATCTTATCCTGTTCGTTAGTCGTTTCTCGGTTACTCTGACAGTTTTCCAAGACTTTCAATCGAAATCTATTAAATGTCCAAACGAAATATTTCAGATCGAAGTGAAAGTATTTGTGATTTCTCCCATTCATTTTGATCTGTCGTAAATTAGAAAATCTGAAAATATTCAATGAAGCATTTCAGACAGAAATGAATTGAATCTCGGAATCTTTAAAATATCTAATCGAAAGAGTTAAAGAATAGTTAAAAATTATTTTTCAAAATAATAATAAAGTAACTTTCGGTTTTCTAAAAAATTATTCACTCTGTTCTTCGCGAGCTTTATCAGTTGGGAAAACTTAAAAAAAGGAAAACATCTTTATAAATTAGAAAACTTAAAATTACATCGAAGGTGTAAAATCAAATCGAAGCTAAGATTGGAGCAGATCCAGAAAATTGGACAGGAGAGCGAGAATAAAATGTGACGTTAGTTGGAATGAAACTTGTTCGACGAGAGGTGTCTGCGTCGTCGACGTCGTTAGAGAGCGTCGTCGTACGTGTGTTTGAAAGCCAGTCATCAAAGATGAACGTCTGACCGAGCATCAGCTGATTGAGAAGCTACGTCACAATGATGGAAGTGGTAATCGTAGCGTCGCGCGTTAGAGAGCACGATCTGTTGACGGTGTTTAGTAAACTTATACCGGCGATAATACGCATGTACTATGCGACTCACGCTCGTGTTTGACAATAGGTAGAAGCGAGCACAAATGTGAGCCTCTTAAATTTCGTCGATCCGACCGATTATTCTTTGAAGTATCGTTCGATACCGAGATTAAGACTTATCTTGTCAACTATTTTGTCATTGAATTCGTTGAATACTGTGTTAGGAATTAAAATTTCTTACTTCCTTTCATCGAGAGTGATTAATTCAGGCCTCTTTCTACGATCTTTTGACTAAAAATTGTTCTGAGACTTCTTGCAAGGTAATAACGATCCATCAGTAGTAAAAACTGGTCATCGTCGATTTGAGTCTTCAAAGGTTTATTATATTTGATTAAAATTTCAAAAATTTCAAACTGGAAAGGAAACGGTAACTCGTTTTAAATTTGTACGCAACATTGCGTTATTTTGTCAAGTACGTAATTAGATTTTTAGGACATATAGATTCTCGCGGTAGCGAAAGAATAGAAGAGAGAAAAGAATTAAAATTCAAAAGTTTTTTTGCTAAATTTAACAATGGAAGTGGTAGAAATTGCTGCGAACACAGAATACTAAAAGTGATAATTGAACGATAAAAGAATAAAGAAGGAAATTCGGAGAGAAAGTAACAAAAGAATATGAAAAATAGAGAGAACCATGGTGACCATAAAGGCAATCATAAGGAGAGAGAATAGGAAAACAGGAATGTAAGAAGGAGCAAAGTTTTCACAACCGAATATACGTTGAAACTTTTCTAAATTCTTAGTATATCTTTAGTACATCCTCCACGGGGAATATATCCCATATATCTTAGAATAATAACTTCACTTAGGGCGAAGAGCCGGTAACATATCTACGGAGTAGGAGTAGGATCTCTGCATAATCGTAAAAAGTTTAAATATGGCTTTAATATAAGCGATACTCCTTCCATTCGTTTTGAATTATGATAACAATCGAATGGCACAGAAGGTTCAAGGCGACAAAGAGGTTTTTTACGGCTCACGGTTGATTCATTCGTGCATCGTGACGTTTCCCGACGGATGTTTCGTGATAATGTCACGAAACGTTATCTCACTATTATTATTATCGTCGAAGAACTATGACTCACGTGCGTTCCGTTGTGTACATCAGGCATTGTCTCTTTACCGCGTTGAAAACACGTGAGTACAATTCCCTTTCACCTCATCAACGCGCGTTATCTTACACACTTAGAGACGTACATATGTACATGTACTGGCTTACGAGGGTATTCGAACAGTTACAGAAAATTTTTATGAACGTATATAGGAACTATAACGAAACATTCTGAAATTTTATTAATATGTAAACACTGTGGATTTTTCTGCATTTTTATGTTTTGTAACTGAGGAAATGAAATGCATATTTTATTCCACAGAAATATCGATATTTTACATATTTTTGCATATTCTGCGTATCGTGTACGTTGTTGTTACACTTTCAGATCTGTCAAGAACACAAGGTCACTATCGTGATTGTGTTGCTAACATTTGAAACTAATTTGAAAACGTACATACATACAAACATATTACTAAACGTTAAACACAAAATTGATGTTAAAGAATAATTGATTCTCCAAGTAATTTCCGAGATAACGTGTTTGGATTTATTTTAAACCTTACCGCAGCGATTATGATAATTGTATCGTGGTTACGCGTAATAAAAAAATATAATCGTATATACGTGTACAGTTGTAATATAATAAATGATCACGATCGTCGTTCGAATACTTTCGCGAGCCCGCCATATTACCACCTCGTTCCTTTTTTATTTATAACAGCATCCTCAATCGATCGAATTTCCCATCGAAATAAACCCACGGGGCAAAAGATAGATTCCACGTGTTTCGCGACACGCTCTGCGTCACAATCCTTTTAAAAAAAGTTTGGTACAGGTCCAACATTGAGGTCGTTTATTCGCAGCGACACGTCGATATCCCAATGAAATTTTCAGGCAGGATAATTCGTCTTCCGACGATCGGTGACGTGTCTAAAAGTAATACAGCTCTCGATAGATCGCGGCGGAAAGGAAGTACGCGGGCGGAAGGAAACGGGTACACCGGGGGATGCTTTCTTGGCAGACCGGAGGAACGTGGTCGGTCGTTGGATCGATGCCCGGTTGGCAACAGGAGGGTGGTTCTGCCGGTGGTGTATGAGCAAGGACGTTCGTGCAGCACCCTCGTTTCCTCTTTCTCCGCCCTTTCTCTCTCTCTCTCTCTCTCTCTCTCTCTCTCTCTCTTTTCTTCTCTTCTCTTCCGATCTCGTCTCTCTTTTCTTGCGAGTTACAGCTGTGCAAAGATGGCACGATTCTCTGGCGCGGTTTTGTCGTCAATCGATATTTCGTTGCAGCGAAGGATCTCGTATTAACCTATCCGGCCTTTCACCGCCGAATCTCTGCCATCCAACCGGAGTGTGGTTCTGTTGCTTGTTTGTTTGTTTTCACTCCGCTTCGCCAAATACCGCTGGAAAAACCGGTGTCCTTTGACGAGACTTTAAAATATTCCATTCGCCCGCTTCGTGTGCACGAAATGCTGTGCTCCGAAATTATTCGAATTGGCACAATAGCTTCGCCGAAATGTAGCGCAGCGCGACGCGAAAAGAACAAGGAAGGGTGTCTCTTTCGGTGAAAAGTGAAACGGGCACACGTGCGACGATTAATTTTGCAAATGCTATAGCAACCAGGTCGAGATAAAACCTATCAACTCTCTTTTCTCTCTCTCTCTCTCTCTCTCTCTCTCTCTCTCTCTCTCTCTCTTTCTTATCTTTCTTTCACCGTGTCTCTCGACGCGACACCGGCGCGCAAACTCGTTCTGTTTACCTAGCTTCCTCTCTGTTTCGTACCGCGACCTATATTTCCCATGTTGATGAAAGGTATCTCATTTTCTAT